TATTATTTTTTACCTTTTAGGTAGTTTGCATAATGTTGCATATCCCAAAAGTAAATTAGCATTATGGGTACAGTAAAATAATTAATTCATGGCTGTGAAAGTTGGACCATAAGAAAGGCTGAGCGCCAAAGAATTGAGGCCTTTGAACTATGGTGCTGGAGAAGACTCCTGCGAGTCCCTTGGACTGCAAGGCATTCAAACCAGTCAGTCCTAGAAAAGATCAATCCCGACTGCTCTTTAGAAGGCCAGATCCTGAAGTTGAAACTCAAATACTTTGGCCACCTAATGAGAAGGAAGGACTCACTGGAGAAGGGCCTAATGCTGGGAAAGATTGAGGGCAATAGAAGAAGGGGACGACAGAGAATGAGATGGCTGGATGGAGTCACTGAAGCAGTAGGTGTGAACTTAAATGGACTCCAGAAAATAGTAGAGGACAGGAAGACCTGGAGGAACGTTGTCCATGGGGTCGCGATGGGTCGGACACGACTTCTCAATTAACAACAACAAAGATAATTAAATAACTAAACTGGGTTTTTCCTATAGAAATTTTCTATTTTTACCAATGGAATTTATTTGTCAGATATTTTCAAATCCTCAAAAAATCTTAACAAGTCATTATATAATGTTCCAATATACTGTACATCCCAGGCACTCTAGGTCTCTCAAGTTAAACATTTGTTTTGATTAATTTTACAGCAAAAAACTGCTAATATATAAGAAACTGTGTTTGCTGATCTTTTAACAAATACATGTATGGCATTTCCCTTAAGCAATAATATAATTACTTTATTTACATTGCACACAACTGATCTTCACCAGTAGAAAAGCATGCATGGGAAAAGTTAAATTCTTCTCTCAAGACTCAATATTTGTTCCAAAATTCCAAAACCCTTGGGGATCACTCTCACAAAAAAAATCCAAACTTTGACTATTACCATCAAACACTTTTTCTTTTTCTAAGCCCCATGGAATGCAGTAGCTAGGGAAAGGTTAAACCTTTCCACTCTGTTCTCACACTGGTTCCAATGCAGCTTGGAACCTCATTTGATCCTTCATATCATTTCCTTTGTACTTAAATATGTAACTCAGTTCCACGTTTTTCTTTTTTTAGTCTACAAGTAAACATTTAAGTATTTCCATTAAGTACATATCACAATTGCATGCCTCAACTCCATTGGACAGGATCTGACAGGCACCTTAGAATGCATGATTCACAGGAATGACAACAAAACACAAACCTAACAATGCAACTCACTACAAGAAAAACTCAATACTATCATCCCAAAATCACAAGACAACAACTCAGAACTATGGATCAGAAATCTATCCAGCAGAACTCTATCTGACAACAAAAATACCATCCTCACACATGGCCTCAATTTTGGCCACAAAGATGCTGACCCCATTGAACTCCTCGCCAATCTTGAATACATTCTAAAAAGCACTACTTGAACCAAGAAACACAAGACATCAGACAAAAAATCATCCCCTATGTGCAATGCAACAGACAAAATGAAATACTCAGCCAAAAGGAGAAGAAAGCGCTTAACACACTGAAACAAGACAAAAACAACGTGACCCTATTGGCAGACAAAGGCAGACTGACAATAATAATGGACAAAACTGAATACATCTGCAAAGCCGAAAACCATCTCAATGACACCAACACCTACCAAACAATTCACAATGATCCAACAAAACAGCTAGAGAACAAAATAAAAGACACCTTAAGAAAAATGGAAAAAGAAAAACAACTAACACCCACTAGGGAAAAAGCACATGCAACCACAAGACTCCTCCACACCCAGGTTCTACTGGGTCCCAAAAATACACGAGAATGGGATTCCCTTACACCCAATTGTCTCTCTGCCTGGAGCACCAATTTACAAACTAGAAAAAACCCTACAAATGAAACTCAGACATTTGGTCAATGACTCAACCCACTCAATAAACTCCCCAGAACAATTTCTCCGATGCATCAAATGCACCAAGATCAACAAGGAACAAATTATGGTCTCCTTCGACATCACCGCCCTCTTCAACATAATTGATATCAACCTGGCTAAATAAACCATACACCACCTACTCACTAAACACCATACCCACAAACAGGATGCCACTACAGAACATTCCATGTCCACAGTAAGCATCATGAAACTCCTGGATCTATGCCTCAAAACATACTTCAAGTTTAATGGGAGAATCAACAAGCAAGTACAAGCATCACCCCTATCAGACCTAATAGCAGAAGTAGTCATACAACAACTCAAATCCACAGTTTATCCACCATCCAACCAAAATTGTGGACATGCTACATTGAACACCTTCGTCATGATCAAATGGTCCCAAATTGAAGAAATGCCATCTGCTCAATAACATAATTCCTGGGATCAAATTCACATACAAAGAGGAAACAGACAACAGACTCCCATTCCTTGACATCTACATAAGGAGACAAGAAATAGAGAACTAGAAACCCGCATCTACCGCAAATACATACACACGAACCAGATCCTCAGCTTTACATGCAATCAGCTCACTGCACACAAAAGAAGCTGTGTCCAGACCCTGTTCAGAAGGGCCAGGACACACTGCAGCACCACAACACTAAGAAAAGCAGAAGAGAAACAGCTGCTTGACATCTTTATCCATAATGGCTATCGAAAAAACTTAGCATTCCGACACATAGCACTCAAACCACAGCACACCATACACCATGCAAAAACTAACCCTACCATGCACAAAAAGTTATGACAATCAGAATTCTCCAACCCCTAGGATTAGCAATAGCCCACAAACCCACAGCCATGCTCCACCAGGAATTATCAAGAACCAATGACACGATACAGAAGAATGAAAGAAACAATGTAATTTACTAAATCAACTGTAACAATTGCAACCAATTCTACATAAGAAAAACATCTATCAATTAAAAACCAGGATCCATGAACAACAGCTGGCTGTCAAACGCCACGATCCCAAATCCTTAATCTCTACCCATCCTGACACCAAACAGCACCAGTTCAATTGGATCAACACAAAAGTCATCGTCCACACTACTATCTGCCATGCTTGTGAGTTCATCAAAGCCTGGCACTCCACAAGAAATTCCATCAACAGACACATTGACCTACAACCAGCCTACGAAACCCTCAAAATCCAAATCAACCACACAGCCAACCAGAGGCAGCACTGACCCTCAACCAACTCATGCAACCCCCAAAAGCAGTTCACCTCCCAATGACCTGGACCTGATGTAACCTCCCCATCATAAGACCCATCACAACACTCTTACTGGTGACTCACACCTGACCCATCACAAGACCCTCACTCAACCCACCCACACCGGAAGCCCTTATAAGCAGAAGAACTCTGACACTGACATCCCCTAAACTCTTCTAGAGATGTTACCTAGCCTGGTAATGAAACATTCAGAAACCAAACATCAAGCTTGGAGTACAAACCCTCATCCTACACCCGAGCTACAGATATTCGCTACTATTGCAAATGTATCACAATTGCTACAGAACATATAAAATGTACTGCAATATGATTTTAAAGGACTGTTGCAAATCATCCATTTTGGCACATTAAATTTGATTAGGTATAATTGTTGTTATCCTAGAATAATGTTGTGATAACTTCTGTATATACCTACTTGGATTAAGAAAATAATGCCTTGTTTTAAATTCAGTTGTTCTGTTCTGTTTCCTTTCCCAGGAAAGCAAGCAAAGATCTCCATACCAGCTTACTGGCAATCCATTTGTATCAATCACCACAACAAGAGATGATGTGGTAAGGAGAAATATTTCTTGAAACATGTGAACAAACTAAACATGAACTCCCACTACACAAGAAATAGGGATAACTCAAGAATTAATCAGCTTTCTGGTAAGAACAGGCCAAAAATGATCAAACCATTCTACATTTTGCCCTAGCCAAAGCTTGGAGTCCATGATAAATCTCATATATGACTGCTCTAAAGTCACTAGTATCTTTTATAAACTCCTCTTACCTGAACTTCATATATCTCAAAATACATATGGCCAAACCATATGCACAATATGTTAACCAAAGGATTTTTGTCTTAAATGTACAAATCTATCATTTGCCATAAGGCAGATTCAAACATTCAAAAAAAAAGTATGTCAATGCTGCTAACATAAGATGTTCTTGCTTTGACAACAGATGGAAAGCAGCCATTTTCTCTATTGCTTTTAGAATTAGTTGCTGCTGGGAGGGGGAACAGGGATGAGAGTCCAGCTAGTCATAACAATAATAACTTAATTGTAGGAACCCAAGGACATTGGGCCCAGAGCTTATTGTGTTTTGGTGGGCTGGAGAGCTGGGGAGAAAGCCCTCACTTCAAGCTAATTGGGGAATGTGATTTATGACTATTTATTGGAGGAGGGGATTGTACTTTGTTACTTTGTATCCAGGGGAGCAGAATTTAGTTTCTGGTTTTGACTATGTAGTGCCGATACTTTGTTTCTTGAATAAAAGATTCTTTAAGATAAACAATGCCTCGAAGTTCTTTTGAAGAGTTTCATCTATCAGAACCATGACAAAGTTACTAAAACAGACAGGAGTCTTATTTCCTGCTTATCATGTCATTTAGCTGGATAAGGGTACTCCTCAACTTACGACCACAATTGAACCCAAAATTTACATTGCTAAGTGAAACATTTGTTAAATGAGTTTTGCCCCATTTTACAGTTTCTTGCCACAGTTGTTAAGTGAATCATTGCAGTTGTTGAATTAGTAGCACGGTTGCTAAGTCAATCTGGCTTCCCCATTGACTTTGATTGTCAGAAGTTTGCAAAAGCTGATCACATGACCCCCAGGAATTGTCAGAAATACAAAGCATCTGAATTTTGATCACTTGACCATGGAGATGCTACAACAGTCTTAAGTGTGAAAAATGTTCACAGGTCACTTTTTTCACTGCCATTGTAACTGTAAATGGTCACTAAATGAACTGTTCCAAGTACGAGGATTACCTGTAATTTGAATCTCTTTGTAGTCTGTTGCATTTTTCACACCCCAGCAGCAATATAGGAATAGAAACTTGAGACTAGAACAGTTAGATTTTTTCAAGATCAGGCAATAGAGCAAATTGAGGACCACTGGACTTAAAAAGTCATGCAGTCAATTCTAGAATAAGACTAGAAAAAAATAAACATTTTCATTTGTAGCCGTTTTGATTTGTATTGATTAAACAAAGATATTTTGATCCAATATATGTAAAAACGGAAATTTTATTTTGCAAAAAAAGTAAAATGATTGGAGCTGTTTTTTCTGTCTCCTGTCTCTCTGTCTCTCTCTCTCAGACACAGAGAGAGAGAGAGAGAGAGAGATAACTTTTGTCATATTAATGTAAATATGCTGTACTGTACAATGTTTTTTCTTTGTAGCCTGAGCAAGACATCTGATACAATATATTATTATTTTACTTGAGATGTGATCTGTGTCAAAGGTCTGCAACAAAAATACCACATGGTACGAAATTGATTCATTTTGGTACTGCAAATTGTGATGAGGTGGAGGCAGGAAATTCATCTTCTCTCATCATGACAATCTTGAGATTGAATCTTGGAGGAGTTTTTTTTTCCTTAGATGTGGAAATAGCGACATCCGTCATTCTTAGTCTAGCAGTGCCTCTCAGGCAACAGGCAAAGCCAAAATGTGAGCTGGACTGCAAAGGAAGCATAAAAAGAAAAGGAGAATAATGATTGATAAACTCTAAATATTGCTTGCTTTGTCTAAGAAAATCCTTCCAGGGATTAATTTTAAAAACAATGCAAAATTAAGAAAGATCCAGAGTTAGTGGTGACCAACCATTTTCTTACTGATTTATTCTATGATTATCACTATGTTTATTCTTCTCCATGTGGGGTAACTATAGGCTCATAGGGGTTGATTTAGAAAGTTGGATACCCTTTGAACTAGGGTGCTGAATGGTTATGTAACATTAATAGATCATAATGTATGTGTTATGGTTATTTGGTCAAATATCTCTCAGATATTGCCCATAATGTTTGTGGTAATGGGCTGAGATGGCCCAAGTTATCCCTCCACAAGTTTCCAAAAATTAGATTTCCAAAATTCAGCTACACAAATTTGTATGAAATTGTAGGGGCAAACAAAACAGTAACATTATCCCACTTAGTAATTTTCTTATAAGCTCAAAGCGAGATGTGAAGGAAATTGAATATTTGAAATCTGTTTATAATGCATATCACAGGACTATACACTATCTATCCAGTAATATTCCATAATAAGTTAGGCATAATTCCTGGACCTAGTCCAGATAAAGCACTTTACCATAAAGAACATATTGTCATGAAAATACTTTGTTCTCTCCTCAGCATAAATTTTGTCTTGTAGAATGGCAGAGGAATTTGAAATATTTGAACGCTCTAGTTAAGTTCTGCACTTTCTCATTATCCTGTGAGTACACTTTTATCATTATTATTTCAATTGCCTAGAGCTGGGACAAAACTGAGAAGAAGCCAGGCGTTCTTTGCTTTGTTAATGTGGGGGGGGGGGGAGAGAGACAATCAACATTATGAGTATTAGTGATGACAGCATGCAATGTTGTTTTGTAGGACTCAAAAGGGCAGCCATTCATCTGAATTGAATTTCAGCTGGAGACTAAGAGGCCAAACTTAATCATCACCACCAAGCCCAAATTATCACACAAATCAATATACTCCGATTTCATTTGTAGCAAGAAGGAAATTCTCTGTGTTTCAGTCAAGCAGGTGGCCCTAAGGCTATTAACCAGCTGGCTGAAATCTAAATAACTTTGCCAAGACAAAAGCAAGTCAAATGATTGATTATCATCTTATTGTGCTTGAAGAGGCACGTCTGGGCCAATCAGCAAGCATCGACCACATACAATTATTGCATAGTGAAATGATTTCTTTGGCTCAGACATTATATTTGAGAGTTCTTTGTGCTCTAGGTTTAAAAAATCTTTCTGGCATGTTTTTTCAAGTTCTGTTATGGCATAATCATCTGCAATTATTCAAATTTGCATTGCTGTGCAACTTTTTTTTCTCCTTATCCACTACATATCCCACAAATGAAAACAAACGGATGAGTTGTTCTTCTAGGTAGGAGAATGACTCTGAAAAGTAATTATCCCTCCTTAATGATTGAAAAATCATGCCTTCTTCTGAGACTTGATTCTATCCTCTGTGAAGCAGGCTTATATTTGTTTTATTAGCTAAGACTTTGCAAAATGGATTCTTGATAAATATATGGTGAACTGCAACAAACCTCTTTTTCTCTGTAATGTAACAACACTTCTTGATTTCTTTGTTAAAAACTATGTCACTTGAAAGTAATGAACTTTGGACTTCAAATTTATTTCTATAGTATCATATTTAAAGGAAAATAACATACAATACAGAATAACATACAATACAATTTCTCTGAATAATTTTTTCTTACAAAAGGACACTCTCAGTATCTTGTAAGATGAATCACCATTAATCAGGTGAAGGTATAACCAGAAGTGTGCAATTGTGAACAATTCTGATATATCCCTATGCCAGCAGTGTTATATCTGTGGATGGGGAGATGTTGTTTCAGAGCAATAAATGCTGCTTCAAAATTGGCAGTCTCACTGTTTGTGCTTGGAGGGACAGTCTGTGTTGTCACTGAAAAGGTTTTGGGCTCACCCCCACCTTTTGGGTCCTATTATAGCAACATGCTGGAATATGGAAATAATCAAAACACAGAATTGCCTGCAATCTTGCATTAGAAATTTGGGAAAGCATGGACATGGTACATATCTATATCAAGATAAACACAGAACTGTATGGAAATGCTACCAATTTTCCACCACCTTTCTTTCTTGAATGGAAAAAGATATTATTTTGACACCAATTTGAGAGGGTGAAACAAATAAGCACTGATGGACTGATGGCTCTTTGGGCCCTGCTGTTGGCCAAAAAGACAAATGTTGATTGTTTTTTAGGAAGTCCAGTTGATCCCCACCCCAAATAATGATTAGCATGTTCATGTCCAAATATAGCTGATAGAAAGAAAAACAATTTGAATCAATCTTAGAATTTAGGAAACTTGGGAGCTGGAAAGATAGTTCCATGAAATCCATTTTATTTCATGTAAATTCAAATCTTCAAGCTGTGATTATTGGTAAATGATGTGTACTGTTCATTAGTGGAGGTAGTGTAGTTGCAGAATGCCATGCAGCATTCTGGAACAAAAACAAAGGAAGGGTAAAACAATGTTTTCTTGTTTGCTTATAGATTTTGTGAGTTCAAGATAGCAGATTCTGTGGGGTCCTTGGTGCTCTCTGAGCTTAATTGTTTTTTTTTTGTTTGACAAGTTTGTTTGTTTTTGCAGAGGTTTCATTACCAAACTAGGTAATATTATTAGTATTAGAAAGGACCACAGAGTTCAACCCTGAGCTAGAAATGGTTTCTTCATTGATAGCAGATTCTGTTTAATTTCAGAAATATAGATTCATGAAGTTTATGCAACAATAAAGAAGTTATTAAGGAATAAAGTAAGGAAGATGGATCGCAATTATATTTTAAATAACATTTTACAAAACTACATTGATATAGTTAGATTTATTCCCTGATAAATACTGTATGTACAGATTATGTCCTGAACTTTTTTCCTTTTTAACAAGCAATGAAACTTATTTCATAACTAAGTATACTGATCCTACAAAAGAACTTCAGAAGAAAGTGTGAGAAGAGAGAACATTTTGAGATGGCCATCATATTACAATGTAAAAAATCTCCAGAATATATGCTATTACACCCCTATCTTCATATAAATCATTCAATGTTAGAAAAATAAAGTAATATTGCCATTGTTTTACCAGCATTAATATGAAAAATCTGATCAGAGGAATAGATGAAGGTCAAAATATTCCAGAAAGAGATTAAAATCCTGAGTAAATTTCTGATTAAATTATACTTAAAATTCTATCATTGTTGGAGTCAAGTGAACCTAGATAATAGTGATAAAAGTTTAAATGCCTTATATTCTCCAAACATAATAATGGTGTAAGTTGTAAGTTATATGTCAAGCCACATATCATCAGCCTAATAAATTCTGCAAATATATAATTCAATTGCTCTAAGAATGAATGAGAAAACTGAAAATCTGCATAATAAACTAAACTAAATAAACTTACCCTGCAAAGTGCCTTTTATATTTATTGTGTACATATTTCACTAGACTACAAAACTAACAGGGTTGTTATCATAGGTAATTCACAACACCTGATTAATGCCACTTAATCTTAGTTTGATCTAAGCGGGGACAGGGAGTTAATTGATACGGAACAACCCTGTCCCCGGCAATTTAAAAACTATAGGGCTATCAGTGCATGTAGCATAGACGTGTGTGTGGACAAGAATACCAACCTTGCTACAAATCAAAATGAAGCCTCTAATAGCGAGTGCCACATAAAGTGCACTAACCAAATAGGTGGTAAGACAATAGGGGAACTCAGGCACCACACACGTTATGTAGAAAGGAAACACAGGGCCACCCACAAAGGACTCAAATGTTTATACACCAATGCACAGAGTATGAACAGCAAACAGGGTGAACTAGAAATTCAGGTTAACGAGGGCAGATACGATATTGTTGCCATTACGGAAACATGGTGGGATGAAACTCACACATGGAACACACAGCTAGAGGGATTTAAATTATTTAAAAGAAACAGACCAAATAAAAGAGGAGGTGGAGTTGCTCTCTATATAAGAAATAACTACATCTTCACAGAAATAGAGTACAACAATGATAAAAACTGTCTTGAATGCATTTGGGTCAATATAAAAGGGGGGGGAAATGACATTGCCATAGGTGTATACTACAGACCACCCAACCAAACAGAGGAAATAGATGAACTTTTTGCTAGTCAGCTAACTAAGGTATGTAGGAAGCACACCACAATAGTAATGGGGGACTTTAACTACCCTGACATCAACTGGGAGACAAACTCCGCACCAAGTGGAAGATCAAACAGGTTCCTGGCAAACCTAGCAGACAACTTTGTCTCCCAAAAAGTAGAGAAGGGAACTAGGGGATTAGCCATTTTGGATCTAATTCTCACTAACAGAGATGAAATGATAGACGGTGTTGAAGCCATAGGAACCCTGGGAGGAAGTGATCATGCAATATTAGAATTCAACATTATAGAAGCACAACCAATAGAACACAGTCAAACTAGAGTCTTGGACTTCAAGAGAGCTAATTTCAATAAACTTAGAGAGGGCTTGGGAAGGATTCCATGGATGAGAATCCTCAAGGGGAAAACAACTCAAGAAGCTTGGGAAATTTTGAAAAATGAGATAATAAAAGCACAGTCTAGCACAATACCAACAAAGAGGAAAAATAACAGCTCTCAAAAGAAACCAGCATGGCTGCATAAAGAACTCTCTGACAAATTGAAAGATAAAAAGGACAAGTACAGAAAGTGGAAAGAGGGGAACATAACTAAGTCAGAATATCAGCAAATAGCCCGAGCCTGCAAAGATGAAGTGAAGAAAGCCAAGGCTCAAAATGAACTAAGGCTTGCGACCAAAGTCAAAAATAACAAAAAAAGCTTCTTTCAACATGTAAAAAACAAGAAAAAAGTGAAGGAAATGATTGGTCCATTAGTGGGTGGAAGTGGCAAGAAGGTGACAAGCAACAGGGAGAAAGCAGAACTATTTAACTCATTTTTTGCATCTGTCTTTACACAAAGGGAAAAAACAGACCAACCTATCAAAAATAGTGCCATAAAAAACAAAACAGAAACACAAGTTAAGATAGGCAAGAAAATGGTTAGGGAGCACCTGTCCAGCCTAGATGAGTTCAAATCGCCAGGACCAGATGGATTACACCCCAGAGTTCTCAAGGAACTGGCAGATGTGATATCGGAGCCACTGAACTATATTTTTCAAAGATCCTGGAACACAGGGGAACTACCAGAGGACTGGAAAAGAGCTGATGTAGTTCCCATCCTCAAAAAAGGAAAAAAAATGGATCCAGGAAATTACAGACCTATCAGCCTGACCTCAATACCTGGGAAGATCCTGGAAAAGATAATCAAACAACGAATCAACGAACACCTAGAGGCAAACAAAGTCATTACTAAAAGCCAACATGGGTTTGTCAAAAATAGATCATGCCAGACAAATCTTATTGCATTCTTTGACCAAGTGACAAAATTAGTGGATCAGAGGAATGCTGTGGACATAATTTACTTGGACTTCAGTAAGGCATTTGATAAAGTAGATCACAACCTACTACTTGACAAGATAGAAAAATGTGGGGTAGACAGAACCACCACCAGATGGATCCGTAGCTGGCTGACCGGCCGTACTCAGCGAGTGGTCCTCAATGGAACTGCATCTATATGGAGGGAAGTGTGTAGTGGGGTGCCCCAGGGCTCTGTTCTGGGCCCAGTACTCTTCAACATCTTCATCAACGATTTGGATGAAGGGATAGATGGGGAACTCATCAAATTTGCAGATGACACCAAGCTGGCAGGAATAGCCAACACTCCAGAAGACAGGCTTCAGGTACAGAAGGATCTGGACAGACTTGAACACTGGGCACTAACTAACAAAATGAAATTCAATGGTGAAAAAAGCAAGGTTCTACATTTAGGCAAGAAAAACCAAATGCACAAGTACAGCATAGGTGGCACCATGCTCAATAGTAGTAACTGTGAGAGGGACCTCGGAGTCCTAGTAGACAATCACTTAAATATGAGCCAGCAGTGTGCGGCAGCTGCCAAAAAGGCCAACACAGTACTAGGCTGCATTAACAGAGGGATAGAATCAAGATCACGCGAAGTATTAATACCACTCTTCAATGCCTTGGTAAGGCCACACTTGGAATACTGCATCCAGTTTTGGTCACCACGATGTAAAAAAGATGTTGAGACTCTAGAAAGAGTACAGAGAAGAGCAACAAAGATGATTAGGGGACTGGAGGCTAAAACATATAAGGAACGGTTGCGAGAATTGGGTATGTCTAGTTTAACGAAGAGAAGGACAAGGGGGGACATGATAGCAGTATTCCAATATCTCAGGGGCTGCCATAAAGAAGAGGGAATTAAGCTATTTTCCAAAGCACCTGAAGGCAGGACAAGAAGCAACGGGTGGAAACTAATCAAGGAGAGAAGCAACCTAGAACTAAGGAGAAACTTCCTGACAGTGAGAACAATTAATCAGTGGAACAGCTTGCCTCCAGAAGCAGTAAATGCTCCAACACTGGAAGTTTTTAAGAAGAGACTGGACAGCCATTTGTCCGAAATGGTGTAGGGTTTCCTGCCCGAGCAGGGGGTTGGACTAGATGACCTCCAAGGTCCCTTCCAACTTTACTATTATTATTATTATTATTATTTCTCAATCTTAACTTTAAGAAGTGTGAACTTCAACTCCCAGAATTCTCCAGCCAGCATTGGAAATCTGAGTTGATGTCCACACTTCTTAAAGTTGCCAAGGTTGAGAAACATTGGGTTAAAATGCTGACAAAAAATAGGTAAAATTTAATACAGGATATGGATATGGATAAGTAAAAATATAATGATAAATGTTTTAACAGAGCTTGTTATAATTAGAAATTTACTAGCTTAAATATGATATAGCAAATGTTAAGGGAAATAGAGAAGGAATTTTTTTGATGATGTAACCTGAGAAATGTACTAAAGATTTTGTTATTGTACTATTGATTACGCAATCACCACTCTACTTTTCAAATATTTAAATGTAAAATTGGAAAACCAATAAAAACTTGTTATAAAAAATGCTGAAAGACAGTTGGATAAATTTAAGCTAGTTACTCTCTCAGTTGTAAGAAGAAAGCACCAGCAAGCCAGTTATGGAAAAGTTATTTAGAAAGCAGCAAGCTGCCAGGGGTCAAGAAAAATCTGAAGGTAAAAAATAAAAGTCATATAACTATATGCTTATACTGAGTACAGTTTAAAATAAAACAGTTGACAAGTTGCTCTATGAGGGAGGAGAGCAATTCATAAATATAATAAATTAATAAACCATTTCATATCTTTAAAAAGGCATGGAATCAGTTAGATTTTAACCATACTATTTAAAGTGTGACATATTTTATAATATGTATATAATTATTCTGTTATCATTTTGCAAGTATATTATTTTACTGGCAAATGATAATTTTTAAAGGTTTGGGATTTATTTTAGTTTATAATCTTAAGCTAAATATGCATAAATATCATGTTCGATATTTCCCATGTATCTTATTTGTATGATGTTTATGGTGAAACATTTTATTTTCTGTCAGTGAAGATTGAGTCTCACTAAAAACAACTATATTTAAATAATCTGTATGTATGATTGCATGGTTAGTAACAGCTAAAAAGAAAGACTATTCTAACTTAACATTCTAATTATTACGTCTGGTAAAACAAAGAAGAGGGAGTCAAGCTATTTTCCAAGGCGCCTGAAGGCAGGACAAGAAGCAACGGGTGGAAACTAACCAAAGAGAGAAGCAACCTAGAACTAAGGAGAAACTTCCTGACAGTTAGAACAGTTAACCAGTGGAACAACCTGCCTCCAGAAGCGGTGAATGCGCCAACACTGGAAGTTTTTAAGAAGAAACTGGACAGCCATTTGTCCGAAATGGTATAGGGTTTCCTGCTTGAGCAGGAAACTTGGATTGGACTAGAGGACCTCCAAGGTCCCTTCCAACTTTATTATTATTATTATTATTATTATTATTATTATTATTATTATCATCATCATCATCATCATCCTGTCTTACAGGGGGACTCTCTTGAAATAAAAATAAATGCTGGCTATGCAGTGAATACTTTCTATTTTATGTCACCTGTGAAACATGGGGAGAAGGAGAGTAATCAGTATATTAGACAGAAGAAATTATAGTCTGCTATACTGTAATCCAAATGGTATTTGCTTAATTCAGTTCTTTGAGGCTTGTTAATCCAAAATTTTAAAAGCATGCATATCAAAAACTTTAGAGCACTCAAAGGTATGATTGCTGTTGTAAAGATTCTATGTTATCTATACTTTCTTCTGTGGATGTTTACAAGCAAATTATTATACAAAGAAAAGTTGAGTAACCAGTCATGCAGAAAACTGAGTTATTTATTGGTTGAGCAACTAGTCATGCAGGAAACTGAGTTATTCAGTTTGTTTACGTATTTGCATCATCATTCTATGCATAATATTCCCCATCTCATGACCTACTTCCTGAGTTCCCTTGGTTTTGGGCAACAAACTCTAATACAATAGTACAAAATAGATTGAGCCCTATGCTTCATCTCTTGACCTTGACAATGATAGTGTAAACAGAATGAAATAAACTCCATTAAATTGCAGAGTTAGCATTTGTATAAAATCATAACAAAAGGAGATGTATTTATCTATCAGCTGATATTTCCTTTCTTTAATTACTAACACTACAGTAAAATAAGATCAGAATCTACCAGAAAAGTCAGCAGAAATTTACAGTCTTGCACTTCAAAACAAACATAACTTGTTTAATAAAAATGTACATTTTAATTTTAAAAAATCTGCTTATGTTAAAATTTTAGTTCTAATGAGTTCAGTGGGATATAGGACAAGACAAGTCAGGCAGACATTGAATTATTGACATCTATGAGGACTTATGTAAATTGTGGATTATATGTTGGTCTATTTCTCTTTTAGAAGAACTCTGGCTTACCATGAGTTGCAAGGTGCCTGTTTATTTCCAATAGCTCCTCCTATTTTCACAAAAAGCTAAGTGCCATTATAAAGAAAATGAAAGCTTACCATAACTCCAAATGCATAATAATTTTGTTGTATGGTGTCAGGACTCATAAGACAAAAATGAAGTTTAACTGTAAAGACAAAAGAACTTGCATCCTGAGTTTGATCGTCAAAGTTTTCCTATTTTTATTGGTGATCCTATTGGTGAGCTAATTTGGTTTAGTGGTTAAAGCACCAGGCTAGAAATCAGGAAACCCTGAGTTGGTTCCCACCTTGGGCATGAAACCAGCTGGGTGGCCTTATGCTCATTTGCTGTCAGCCTTAGGAAGAAGACAAGGGCAAACCACTTCTGGAAAGCCTTGCCAAGAAAAATACAGGAACTAGTCCAGGCAGTGGCCAGGAGTGAAAAACTGATCTGAAGGCACATACAGACTAGAGTCAATACAAGTAAACTAAATATTTGTGTTAGCATTGCTGCTAATGGTAAATTAGATTCATCAGGCATCTCATTTTCTGTAAATTCTGTCACAAAGTGCACAAATAAATACTTTGGACAAGCAGTTATTTACAACATGAATTACCTGGCCATGGAATGTTGATTTTAGCAGACTGACAAACAAATCTCTCATTGCTCTGGATCTTTTTGTTCTTTCCAGATCTTCTATAGTTTGTTGCCAATAATCATCAGGTTGCAACACTCCTCTCTCTCTGCAGGTAACTTTGAATGATGGAAGGATATGTCCATTATGTGTCTTCCACAATTCAAAAGATACCATCCCCTTTATGTGATGAGGAAGCAGTCTCAGGTAGTAGTGGTTATCACTTCATGGAGATATACAACTCAGAACATTGGCTTCCAAAATTCCATAGAATTCTGCTCTTTTTCAATCTTCTTTCTTTTCTATCTCTCATTAGTCCAAATGTTGAATCTTGTAATATCCATATAATACTGTTTTGTTTTGTTGCAAATAGATTGTGTTTATAGATGTATTAACTCTGTTAAATTGGTTCTTGCCAAATTCATGTTCAGTTGCATAGCACCATCTCAAAAGAATACTTGATTTTATTACAGAAGATTCTACACTGTTGAATTTAAAATCCATGTATCGATGCAACTTCAGAAGGCCTGATATATCTGCCTGTCAAGTGTTATACAGTTCTCTGGTCAATGCAAAAATTGCCTGATCACTCCCCTTGATGATATACCTGATGATATTTTTAATGGATTTGATGAACATATTTCTATTTTGAGGTGACAATTGAATACTGTCAATAGTTGTGCATTATAGAGTATCACCCATTGTGAATTTATCACACTGTGGAAGACACAAAAAAAATTAGAGCAATGTATTGATCTACTTAGAAGAGATTGTGAGTTGGCCATGGTGAATTGGCTGTGGCAAGCTGACCATGGCAAGCTGGCCATGGTGAGTTCTCCCATTCCGGAGGCACAGCCAGGGCAAAGTTTGGACAACAGGCAGCTTAGTTCCGAGAAAGGATGTGGGCATAGCAAGTATCTCAGAAAGGGCCCTCCCTAGTTTCTTGGGCTGTAAAACAAAGGGTAAGGATAAATGTACTTTCAGACTTTCAAGAGTCTGTTAATGTAATCTTACAATAAAGTGGAATTAATCCATCTGGATGTGTTCCTGTCTGGATTACATTGCTAATCTGATATCTCTGGAAGCAAAATCAAATCTAGAATAGAGTTAGAAGTGATTGACTTAGATATTCAGTAATACCTGTCATTTATTTAACACCAGAGGTGGGATTAAGCAAATATAATTAAAATAATTTGACAATCAAACTTGTCCATATCTAGAAGACCTTGAACATTACATTTACTATCAATGAAATGCAGATCTTAGAAGAAAGACTGCAAGTACTGAGACTGTACTTCATTTTAAAATGTCCAACCTGTAAAGGATTCTCACCCCAGAAAATGTGGTTGATAATTGGATAGGGGTAGTGTTTTTGCTGTAGCAAAGAATCAGCTGTAAAATTACCCCTTTTGAACTATTCCCCGCATAACATGGAACATTTTGGAGAACATTACATTAACCTTGAATTTCACTGACGCTTCAAAACAATGAAACTCTATGTCTTCACCAGGATCAAGAGACAGGTCAAAGAAAAAGGAGCAGAAAGAAGAAGCAGATTCGTAGTTGCTATGCTGTAGGAGAATCATTCCTTTATGAGTCTTTCCTCTTATTATGTGGAATTAAAATGTCAGAGATGAAAGAATCTCCGGTCCAATATTTTAGCTGTAAGATTCTTTTATACACTGCAGTCATTCGAAAGAAAATAGTGCTTATGTCTCATTAAAGAACTTACAAAAGAAGACCAGTCTTTGACAAATATTTTCTCTGACCTTAATGTCAAATCCCAATAATTCCACATTTCTCTGTTGGGATGAAAGCAGTGCCTTGTAAACATAACTCCAAGGTTTCTGTTTGGGTATTTTCAATCCCTTGTAATTCAACTGTTTAACTTTATATAGATTTTTTTTAGGCAGTATATTCAATACAAGTTAATTATCAAATGTCAGCTTTTCTTCTTGGAGGAGGTGAATGGGAGAATTGCAACATCCTTGTCTTTGGAATGCATTATGAAATCATTTGGGCATGTGGGATTGATAATCAAGGTCTTTCTTCAAGGGAGTAACATCTTCAGATTTAAGATCAGTTCAGAAGGATTTTTGCAAAAACCTTTTGTGCCATCTAGTGACAATTCTTCGTAACATTTCAAAAATAAGTTTATACAGCATTACAGTCTTTAATATGACATGATCATTGCTAGTCACACTCACTGTAAGTATGCCAGAGGGGAAACTTTACAAGTATCTGCATGGTAATGATGGTTTGGGAATTGGGCAGTTTGCTTTTCTTTGGAGGTTCAGAGGAGTTTCTGTTTACTGTGTTTAAGGAAGAAAAATCCTAGCAGGTTGCTCTCTTTTTAGCCTTCAAGAATACAAAATCATAATTACACTGCCAGCAGGTAGAGCCATGTGGCTGTTTACTACTTTTGAATATGCATTCCCACATGTTAATGCATATTCCCACATAGAGTTGATTCCGTTACAGAAGAATGCATAGCCTGAGTCTCACAGGCAAAGCTTCGTGTCACCATTTTTTTTCAAAATTGTCGCTGAATTTCATGCCATGGGCCTTCAATACACAAGATGTTTTTATTATCTGTGCTTAATTAATGTTAATTGAAATGAAAGAAAATTGTTGTGACTGTATCTGCAAAACTGATAGCTCAGATATGTAGCACACATTTTCACAGACTAAGACACATAGTAAACATTTCCATAAGCAGTGTAGTTCTTTATCACTAGACATTGAGGGATACTCCAATCTGAGTCCTTGAAAAGCTAAAAGCAAAACTCCCAGAGAGAACCAAGAAAGAATCTGAGAATTAAGGATAGAAAGCACTGGAACTGCATATCCCAGTAGTTTAAAATTAAAGTTTAGAAGAAGGGAAATCGAGAAAATGAAACAGAAAATTAATTTGTTTCAGAAAGCTTGATATTTTAGGGGGGAAGAAGTGGCAGTCATTCTAGCCATAAGTTATGTAGGTCCTTAATTTATGTTTTAATTGTTTGGGCTAAATCCAGTTTTATGGTCTTATTTTGAGTAGAAAATTGGGTTTTACATCAACCTTGAACTACACTTATAAATACTAATTCCCGTTCCCATCTGCCTATAGATAATGTTTTAATGTGTAGCAAACCAACAGTACATAATCTTGTTGTCTACCTGAAGCAATTTTTCCACAATCTTTTGTATTTTCTTATAAGGATTTCACTTTAGTTGCCGACTCTTGATCAGGGCAATTCTGTATCTCCTTTTCTTCAGTGCTAAATGTATGTTAAAGTTAAATGGGATTCTATAGTTTATCTCTCTTTTTAAAATATAGTGTTTGATTTTATGTGGTGATATTGGTCATCCAAACAGCAAAGGATGGCATGAAATCTGTAATCACACCTATCTATGCTTGTTCCTAAACTGCCACTGAATGGTTTGCCTGATTGTAGAATAAATATTTCTTCTTCTAAAATAGATAATAGCATTCTGTAATTCCTTCTTGAATTAGCATGTAATTAGAGTTCCATGCACAATATGTAGCCACATTGTTAATCTCAGGCCCAAACCATGAATAATTATTGAGCCTAACCCGATATCCAGGCACTATGTGATGGGATTGTGTATAGACCTAAGTTGAGCAAGGTACCAAACATATGGTAACATATGTAAATACAAGCCTGAAATATAGGTGTTTTTTTTTTCCTCATTTCAGATGAGAAATCAGATACATTTACACCAAAGTCAGAGCTAAGGTCAGCTCTGGGAGGGACAATGATACATCCTCACAAACCTTCCAGTACAGGAAGCCTCCCTCATATGAGTCTATGGTATTTCCATATCTATACCCAGTTTCTCTTCAAAGGTCATGTAAATCTTTCCAATATGTCTTGTACTATGTGACATTAGGGTAGATTGATTGTCATAAACACATGTCCATTCTTTATTTTTCCAAACTTGACATTTGCCATTTTCCTGGAATTCTGCCTTGGGTTTTTCAATAATCAGAAATTGGAAGGATGGGGGGAACAAAGTAGCTAATACTATACTTGCTATTACTGAGGACTAAGCAAATCAGACAGCAGATTCTGAGCACAGAACTCCAGAGTAAAACAAAGTGTTTTCTTTTTTGCTTCAGGGCTAGCTTGTTCTAGATTGTTTGTCCTCATATATTCTCCATATGGGGAATAACACACACTATGGCTGTAACAGCATTTAATATTGCACTTGCTGTGCCTATGAAAAGACAAAGGCAGGGTTTTCTGAATCACATTTTGGATTCCAGCATCAAATTATCTGCTCTTTTCTAGATGTGCCTTTTTATCTACTCTTTTCTAAATGTGCCTATGCTGTACAGCACAGCATTCACAAACCCTATTTCATGTTTTATAGTAAGATAGATTCAGCAAATCAAATGTAGCTGCCCTTGTCCCATAAAATTGTTTTCACATGGAAGCGTTTAAGGTGGTGCTGTGCAAAGAACAAATAAATAGAAAAACATCTTCAAGCTTGAAATCTGGGAACCATTTTCATTAATTTTGCAGTGCACATAAGAACAGGAGTTCTTTCCTGATCAGCTAAAACAACCCTTGCTGTACTTACTTTCTCACAGTTATTCAAATACAACTATGTTTTTGTTTTTTCCCCAGTACTATCTTC